ACTCTGCATAGGATAGATATTGGGGTTGATCCTGGACTTATTTGATTACTAGCAGTCAAAACCTTAGTTTTCGGAATTTGCAATCTTATACAGCGTTTCCCTAAAGTCTGGACACGTAAGCAAAAATGCATATTTTCAAGAAATGGAATTTTCAGTATTATTTCTATTGAATTGAAACAACATCTTTAATATGATTTCCATTATTTCTGATGCAAAAGTTGATGCACTTTGCAAGATTCACATGAACTTTTTGTACGAATTCCTTTCAAAAGTTCGAGAATATGTAATGAATCACTCGCCTGAAGGTTAACATCAGCCATATTGATGGAAGGCGAAAAAAAAGTGGGGGATTCTCTCCGTTTTGTTTTGGAGGCGTTAAAATTAAGAAATAATTCTTTGCTCCAGTTGACAACAGAAAGTATGCAAATTGTTAAGTCAGCTACCAATTTAGAATAACGTGGGTCTAAGTATAGAGACCAGGGGGAGTGGCGCTTGCATTAATATAAAAGATCTAGAAGGGTGGCCGTTCAAGACCACCTTGATTTCACGATTCGATGACAAAGACTAAAGTCCAACACTTCGTCCAGAAATACCACAACCATTGAACTTGTGACGAAGACAAATATGCCAAAAGCTGTCAAATGCCTTTGAGATGTCCAAAGCAACAGGTTCACCATTCTTATCTAGACCTTGATAGACTCTTCCTGCAATAATCGTTAACACATCAGCAGTTGACCTAGTGAAGCGAAAGTCATATTGGTTATCTGAAAGAAGATCCTGCGATGTGAGATGTTTAACCGATTCAGAGTTGATTAGACCATCGAGTATTTTGCAAAAAAGAGATAGAAGTCTAAAAGACAGAAAAGGCAGAAGAGGATTTCCAACAAGAATGAAGCAGCAAGGCACATAAAACGTGAGATGTACTTAACAAAACATGTTTGAGAGAATTATTTCTGAGAATACACCATATATATATATATATATATATATATATATATATATATATATATATATATATATAAGAAGAAATTTTGTATGAATGATTCGTGATATAAATTGAACTGCACCACATATTTGATTTAAAAAAAAAATACTAATCTGACATGTAAATTTTCGGGATAACAGCTGAATGAGATATATATTTTTATATATCGACATTACTCAAATAGAACAATTTTTTAGTTCATGTCTTCATCACATCGGCTGAAAAATGTGGGAATTTTAGAATTTACAACAACAAAAAAATTCTCAAATTACCATATTAGAAAAAAAATTTTTTCCCTTAAATTTTCAAAATAAAAAATTCAACCTTATGCGTTGCGACTGCACACGAATTTTCAAAATTTCGGGTTTTATCCGTTAATAAGAATATTCTACAAATTGAACACGGGTGTCTAGATTTTCCTTATGACAGTATCATTTTCTAAAAAACCTATTTCTATTGGCATTTTTTTAATATTTCGATTTGTTTTTTTTCCTTTTTAATTTTTATTTACTATATATTCTTTTAAGAACTATTACATGGATTTACTAAAAAAAACATTTTTTTTTTTTTTTTTTTTTTTGTATAAAAAAAAAAAACAAATTACTTTTCTTTTATTTAAACCATGCCTGAGGATGGTCATTGCTTACAAGTACATCTGAAATTTTACTATATTAATTTTATTTTATTCTTTTTAGCAAAATAAAAAAGATTCATTCAATTTAACCAATTTTAATTATTCACAACTTTAAAATTTTGAAGTTATTATTAAAAACAAGGATCATTTAAATATATATATATATATATATATATATATATATATATATATATATATATAAACCTAATATATATATATATATAAATATGAATTTTGAGATAACGATATATATTTTTATATATCAAGAACAGTATTGATTACAATTTTTAAACTTTTAATTTAGAAATTGTATGACAAAGTCAGAATTAGTAAACTTTATGTATTAAAAGTTTACGTATATTTCGTCCTTCATTTTTGTAAGACGACGTTTCGTCCTTCAGGTCATATTAATTTTATTTTCATCGGACGAAATTTCTTAGGTTTTGTTCAATTTACGATTTTACACAATTACAAACAAACGAACGAAGGATGCTTTATAACAGAAGGAAATTTTAGAATTTACAATATCCAAATTCATTTAGTGTTTTCTTTATTTTTTCTTTCATTTCAATTTTTTAATTTTTCGATTTCCAAGAACTTTTTTATGTGATAATAGAAGATTTTCCAGGAATGATGGAATGTTATAAGAGCCACGCCTCAAATTTACCAACATAACAAATTTAGTCCGAAGGACGAAATGCGTCGTAAGTGAATTTTTTCCACTTTGTCATATCCTAAATTTCTATAATTAAACATATACCGTTATCTATAAGTAAAACAATTAGTACCCAAGATTTTTGATGCATATCAATAGTGGCTACAAAAACCCAAAATATATATGAAAATATATATAGAAAAATAGTTTACCAAATGGAAAGGCTAGGTATTCCTTGTGAAAATGGGTAAAAAAACACAAGGGGAATAGAAAAAATCATTAAGAACCAAAATATCTTAAATAAAGATACCAAAGCAAAAAAATTCAATAGAAAAATTGATAAATCCAGAAACCCTCAAAAGCAAAATAATTTAAATAAAACAGACTGATAACATAAAAATATTAGGTTCTATGAATTCAAAAAAAAAAAGATTCAACCAACATCAAACTTCATTTAGAATAAATAAAATTCAAACATTTCAAAATATTTCCACAGCAGTAAAATGGAAGTTTTAAAGGACTGCGTGATCATCAAGAGAAACTATATTACTAAGTTTATAAAAAATAAAAATTTTTGAAAAAATGCCGTCATTGTCAAAAATTTTTCTTAAAAATGATAAAAAAAAAAAAAAAAAAAAAAAAAAATATTGGAACAGGAAAAACGTATTTGTTAAAACGGGCCGTAGTTAAATAAAATGTAGCATATAATAAATTAACTTGAAGAATCCGATATATATATATATATATATATATATATATATATATATATATATATATATATATATATAAAATTTAATTAATATAAATATAATTATACAAATAGTTTAAAATTGTAATTTACATATACTTTTGTTATGGAAAATAATTATACTTACTATGAGTAATTATCCTTCTGTTATAAAAGTAATAATGGTAAATCTAACCTGTTCACATAGAATCAATCATTTAAAATAAATAAATAAATTGCGATTATTTACTACATCCATCGCTAAGAAACTAAAATAAATATATGCATTAAAATACTGTTAATCCATAGTAATATTCCTTCTGTTATAAAGTGATCCTCGTCGATTTTAAACTTGATGTAAATTGAATGTAAGTTTTCAGTTTATTTGATGTTAAATGAAATGCCATAGTACTTTTGAATACCCATGAATAGTCCTAGGTTTTATATATATCAAAAAAAAAAAAAAAAAAAAAAAAAAAAAATGTAATTCATCATCATAAAGTTTACTAAGGCATGTGTTTTTTTTCCATTAATATTATAAATAAATCATTTTAAAACTTTGAAGACGAAATACTTGTATGTCGACCGAAAGAAATTAAAATGTAAAATAAAATTTTTGAATATCTGAAACTTTATTAATTGACATGTATTTGAAATAAATAAATTAATTAAGATCTCGAAGTTTGCTAAAAGGCGCAACGCTAAGCCATTTTTCTTAAAAATATTTAAATTTGAGAAAAAAAAAAAAAAAAAAAAAAAAAAAAAAAAAAAAAATTTTACTTTTTAAATATTTATAATTTTCCTTCTGATATATATAAAATATATATATATATATATATAAAATATATATATATATATATATATATATATATATAAAATAAAATTAATATGAAATATAAGCTTTTGAATATGTCCTCAGTACACCGATATAAAGTTTATATATAAAAACAAGTAATGATTAATTTCATAAAAAAAAAAAAAAAAAAAAAAAAAAAAAAAAATAAAAACCATTTTTACTACATAATATATATTCTACTGTTCTTAAAAAAGAATATAGTAAAATAAAAATTAAAAAGGCGTAGTTAAATAAAAAGAGTCGATGACGTTGAAAATTTTTACCGTTAACAATTTTTTTTTTTTTTTTTTTAAAAGAAATCCATTCCACGTTTTTTTACATCCTCACCCTTACCAAAAGGACATATCTGACGATAGGAGCGCTTATTGTTTGATGGCATTTTAAAAGCAAATTGAAAATATTTATTTGCAAAAAATAAAATTAGGGGTTTTCCTTTTTCGTTTAAGAATTGGGTGGGAAAAATCATAAGAACACATTTTTACCCCTGAAACGATTTAGATCCAAGGGGATAAAACAACATGACAGGAGTAGCGAATGGCAACTTCAAATTTTCAAAAAATGAAATTTACACGTATTTGACTGCATAAATAAAAACGATAAAGATTTAAACAAACAGTAGAAGAACACGTCATAATATAACATTAAAAACTGTTAATCCCTCCATCTTGTGAGGTCACTCTTTTTACGCCTTGTTAGTGGCCAGAGTTTATTATTTTCTGGATGATCTTTTTTTCTATACGCAGACAGACTGGATCCCAACGCATAAGTTTTTCAAAATTTTTTTTTTTTTTTTAAAAATTTTATTTAAATATATATATATATATTTTATATTTTCTTTAATTTTTTTTTTTTTAATCTGTCGAGTTAAAGAACAAGTGATTAATTTTAAAATAAAACCATTTTGTTCAAGCTTTAGATCTTTCCATTTTTTTTTACAGAAGGACATTTCAACGGTTTGATGGATTTAAAAGCAAATTGAAAATAATTTGTTTTCGTTTATCACGTATAATCCTCAAAAAAAAAATGAAACGGAGGATAAAGATAGATAGATAGATAGATAGATAGATAGATGAGATAGACAGATGGATCCTTTTTTTCGATGAAGTTTAGAGACTTTCCTCTTTCAACGGTTTGAAGACCAAATCAGATATAGAAAAAATGAAAGATAGATAGATAGATAGATAGATAGATAGATAGATAGATAGATATGAACCAAATGAGATAGATATGAACCAAATGAGATAGATAGATAGATATGAACCAAATGAGATAGATAGATATGAACCAAATGAGATAGATAGATAGATAGATAGATAGATAGATAGATAGATAGATATGAATCAAATGAGATAGATAGATAGATAGATAGATAGATAGATAGATAGATAGATAGATAGATAGATAGATAGATAGATAGATATGAACCAAATGAGATAGATAGATAGATAACCGACACAGCTTTTTATCACGGCATTCACATCGCAAAAAAGCGTCGTAGAATATTAACGACCTCAACATTGAGATATGAAAAACAACACAAGGAAAAGAGATGCTACCAAATGAGATAGATAGATAGATAATGAAGAGACAAGGATAGATAGATAGATAGATAGATAGATAGATAGATAGATAGATAGATAGATAGATATGAACCAAATGAGATATGAAAAACAATACAAGGAAAAGAGATGCTATTCCAAAATTGCTATTGAAAATTCTTCATCTAAGATTACTAAGATTAAATAGCTATGCATAAAAATACATATTTCCAAGATAGATAGATACATTCACGCGCATATATACAAATATTTACACATATATACAAATACAAAGAAGAATTTGCAATATTATTTGTCCTAACCTGGCATCTCAACTTCAGTCACTTTCTCTCAACTGTATCATACCTTTTCTGTGCCATTCTATAAATATTTTCCTGGTAATTGTCCTGACAAAATTTCCTCTTTCTTACCTAGACTTTATGAATTTAAGCGCAGTACTAGATTGGCGGGTAGGTCTCATTATTTTACAGAATGGCTATATGTATCCATAACTTCTATTCAATGAGTTTCTTCTATCGACCTCCTCGCTTGTAGCACTCTCCTCCGATTTCTTGCTTTATTTCGCTCACTGGGTTAAACTGTTCTAGTTCCACATGCCATGTTTTAATGGATGTCAGTTATCTCCTTTTAATTCCCCTCTCCAAGTTCTCCACTGCCTTAACCAGGTATTGAACTCACACACTTTGCGTCCTATCACTGGATCTAACCAAAGCCTGTATCCACTGTGTCATGTGTCCTTGAGGACATCTATGTATGAATAAAGTTCGACATTCCAACCACCTGAAGAAGGCCGGAGCGTACAACGGCCGAAACGTTGCAATAAATATGGCGATAAAGATGAGGACAATAGTCCGAATAATTTAAATAGTGTACATAATACTTCATCTCAGAAATAAAGACAGATACTGAACAGACTGGAATAGATAGATATGAACAAGATAGATAGATAGATAGATAGATAGATAGATAGATAGATTGGTTTACTCGTGAGTATTTTAACATCTCCTGAAGCGACACATTCATGGTGTCGAAACATAATTGTAATTATGTGGCGACTTTTAGCATGTTTTAATATCCTAAAATAAATAATATTTAGCTCTACTTTGTATTGAGCCCTCTTTTAAATTAAATGCTACGTACAGTGGAATTATACTTCATTTTTTTCTCATTTTACATATATATATATAATGGCTTAATGGTTAGAATCTCCGAGTGACACCAGTTCAGTCGGGTTTCGACCCTAGCTGGAGGCAACCGGATGTCTAGCCACACTGATGAGCTGTGAAACAGCGAAACAGTCTGTCTGTGGATGACGGTATATATATATATATATATATATATATATATATATATATATATATAATTATTTATTTAAAAATGATAACATAAATATGTTATAAAATCACTACAAAAATAGCCATTTTGTTTCAACACCTCTGGTGTCTTATCAAGTGATGATGTTGAATGTAGATCGTAGAATAAAGGTTTTAAAAGGTTCAAATTAATTAACCACCCCTCGTAAGGGGAAACGCTGTCACATGAGCTGAAATGACCAATCAAAGTACAATATACTTGTATTTTGATTGGTTATTTCAGCGTTTGTGAGCAGGCATCCTCACCCCACTTAAACTTAACCTGATGGTTTCCTTTACAAATGGGAGAGGGTGCGTCATTGCACACATTTTTTTATTAAGTCTCTCGAATGCACAGTCCGGTAGATGTAATTCACAGTATTGAAAAAAGGCGTCTACTCAAACACGCGTATCCACTAAAATATGAAATTTAATGTAATAATATTAATAAGACGCAAACCAGTTCGAAGCCTATTGAAATTCCTTTGGCACCACAACACTAGGCCTCCAAGAAGTCTCATTCCTTGAACTAGAAATACCCATTCTTACCCCCTCCAGAGCACTTAATGGCAAATGTATTTCGGGATGCAAAATATGAATTGTTCTTGGAATGATACCGCATGATCAAACATTTAACTGTCAGACAATGGACACACCGAACGAACAGGTTCATCAAAAGATACGTGGGTATTTGCAAAGGACTGTCCTACGCCACCCAACAAACGACCAACCTAATAAAAGAGTATCCCCAACGATGTGATTGGGTTTTTTACTGCATCAATCATATGGATACACGGCAGCGAATTCTTGACAATCTCCTCACAAATTAATAAAAGACTTGAAACAACAGAAATATGGTTCTACAGAAAGATGCTGAGAATATTATCGACCGCACACGTGAGCAACGATGAAGTTTAGAGAAAATGGAAACGAAATGAAAACTTATACTTTACATCAGAAAGAGGCAATTGTAATTTATAGGGCATATAATGAGGAAGGAGGGCTTGGAAAATTTGATACTCACAGGATAGATTGAAGGCAAGAGGAGAGCAGCGCATAAACCTAACTAGAGAGCCAGAGTAAATGCATGGCAGAACAGGGTTTAGGAGAGACAACAAAATGACAAAATTTATTAAGGGCTACAAAAGACAGGAAATTGTGGAGAGCCATAATCGCCAACGTCCTAAATAGACATGGTGCATAAAATAAGAATATGAAGATCACATGGCTGGCTCAGATTATAACAGATTAGGACTCTGCAAATGGTATTTATCCGGAAAGTGGTTGCACACAGATGACGTTATTGCTGCAGGCGTGCAACAGAGGCTCCACTCGGCGACAAATTGCTCGATGTGAATATCTATACTTCCTTGTGCTGATTCAACTTTATGGATACTACCTGGAAAAGTAGTATAATGTTTCATTTGTATCGTAATAAACAGATATATACGAGTAATGACCGAAAAGTAAAATAAAACAATTTACTAATCCAATATATTTATTATGATCGAAATAAAACAAAACTAGTAATGGAACAGACCTGTTGATAGAAAACGTGAAAATTGTTGCAGCAAGTTACTATTTGTCACTGCATTTTTAAATAAACGTTCTTATTAGTAGTATATGGACTGTCGAATCGTTCTAATTGCTCTGCGACTTTTGTATTGAGCACTTTTAAAAAATCTTCAAAGTCTTGTCAGTTTCAGAGTAGATTTGGCGCATTTACTGATCTAAGTGACTGAATATATATATGTGTGTGTGTGTGTGTGTGTGTGTGTGTGTGTGTGTGTGTGTGTTAGATTAAAACAAAAACTTGTTAAAAATCGCTACACAATATATTTCATGTTTCAGCACTAAAGTTGTGCCTCCTCAGACTTGTGAGTTTACCTACACTAAATTAAAAAATAACCTTAAAATATTCTACATTCAACACCATCACTTGATAAGACACCGGAAGTGTTGAAACAAAATGGCTATTTTTGTAATGATTTTATAACATTTTTATGTCATAATTTTCGAATAAATAATTATATTTGCTCTACTCTGTATTGAGCACTCTTTTAAATAACAGTGGAATTATACTCGATTTGCTCTTATCCCATACCTGGATATATATATATATATATATATATATATATATATATATATATATATATATATATATATATATATATATATATATATAAGAAAGAGGATGTAGTGATTCCAACGAGAGAAAAGTATGTATATTAAAAAGAAGAGAACAGAGGTACCGCAAACGTTTTTGGTTGTAATGTGGATTTTTTTTTAAATGTTATGCTTTATTTTCCATAATTTTACTACACGGGTTTCTGGTCTCGCGACCGTCTTCAGGTAAAAGCGGAGATTTCCACATATTATTAAAAATAATTAATTTTTTCCTTATGTTAAATTTTCCACATATTATTAAAAAAGAAAGAGTGAATAGAAAATTTCAGAGCAGATAACATTAGAAAGATTTTAGATTCCCATGAAAATAAGTGGATACAACGTCTAAACACACAATATCCAGCCGGGCTAAACCATAAATTTAACAATATAGATAGTACTAATATATAATTCAACACATCAAAACCTACCCACATTTCTCACCCACACAAGACAGACATGCTTACGGAGGTGTGGAGGCCTCACACTTATACACACACACACACACACACGAATATACACACTTACACACATCATACTCACTCACTCCCTAATGAGCCAAATGATAACACACACCTACAGCAATACACACGCTTACACATATCATACTCACTCACTCCCTAAGAACCAAATAACACACACACACAAACCCTAAACAGAGACACATCCCTTCTCCAGGACCAATAAAACTGTCAAATTGACCAAGGGAATTCAGGGAAGCATAGATCCATCCAGCTCTTATCTCAAATAACAACTTAAAAGAGACTGTTTGACCAACACAAGGAATGTTAAAAGATTCATGTTAAAAAGATAAAAAATAAAAAAAAACAAATGAAAACTACAGACAAAAGTTCATTTTCTCCATCAAGACATTCATTTCTGTAGTTTACTGCTACCAGCAAGCAGAAATATTTCTTCTCCCGATGATGGCCATTTTGGCCGAAACTACTCGAGGAATCTAAATGAAATAATAATAAAAAAACGAAAGAATATTAATCTAGAACCCAGTGTGTCTGAAGATTAATTTTTTAATATTTTTAATGTTCAAATATATATATATATATATATATATATATATATATATATATATATATATATATATATATATATATATCGTAGTGATGTTATAAAATGCATATGTTATATTTTTTATATATATATATATATATATATATATATATATATATATATATATATATATATATATATATATCCAGGTAAGATAAGAAGAAACGGAGTATAATTCCCTGTCAGTAACATTTCATTTAAAAGAGGGCTCAATACAGAGTAGAACTAAATATTATTTATTCGAAATAATTTCATTCCTTTGCTTTCTTAATTCATTCGCATTTTTTGGATTCTACGGTTTACAAGTTTGTCCCCCATATATGGGTTGTAATTTTTCCATCTGTTTTTCGTTGTTGTTTTTATCTTTTCTATATCTTTTCATATTTTCTTCCTTTAAATTCTTTCTTGCACCGATCTGTGTGTGTGTATATATATATATATATATATATATATATATATATATGTGTGTGTATATATATATATATATATATATATATATATATATATATATATATATATGTGTGTGTGTGTGTGTGTGTGTGTGTGTGTTTCATTAAGGAGACAGATACGGTACTGCAACTATGCATTGTATTTAATTTTTCTTGTGTTCGAATAAGTGTTTTCTTTTCTGGGCACAATGTGTATAGAAACTGTTCAAATGTTCTGTAATACTTTTTAGCCATTTTCAAGGATGATTTTTTATTTTTTACTTTTTAACTGGATGTATAGGTTGTGTGTACGTTTCTAGAGTTATAGGGATGTTTTATTTTCCGAACAAAGTTAGCACATTGTGACCGTGTTCGTAGTTAATATTATTAAGTGTTAGCTTTTTATTATTATTATTAAGGCTTCCGTTATTTTTAATCTTTTTTTTTACATGTGGATGAGGTTATTATGTTTGTATTTTCTACTATTATGTTTCGGGTGAAGTCTGGTAAATTTGTCTGTGTGTTAAATTGGATTCTAATAGAGCTGTTGTCGGATAGATGTAACATGAGACGTCTGGATAGGCATGTAGTAGTGTGACCGATGTAATTATTTATGAGTTCGCTTTGATCAGAAACACAGTTCCTTAAGGGTCATTTGATCTCATAGATAATGTTCGTTTGTTATAATTTTGATTTTGTTTCTGTGTTGTTATTTTTAGGATAAGGTTCGCTGTTTTAAACTTTTTGTAGCAGATGATTAATTTGATTTTTTTTTTTTTGTTCGGGTCAGTTGCGATAGTGTATTTCTTTATGATATTTCTAAGTGAAGATTTATCTTGTTTGTAGTTAATGTGCATTTGGCTTTTGTAGAAAATATTTATGTTATTTTTGACTGTGTATTCACTATAGTTCTGTGTCCAGAAAAGAAAAAACTTGTTCAAACACAAGAAAAATTAAATAAAAAGCTTAATCGCAGTATCTTGTCTGTCGT